TCTGACCTTATTTGACCCTGGTGTGTCTATGTCTCTCGACTCTTTCACCTCTTAGGCATTGGAGTTCCTATCATGCTTGCATATGTCTACGGCGTGGTACCCATCTCTCTGTGCCGTAGTGGTGGGTGTGGTGTCTCCGCTGGGAACGGGAAGGGAGTTCGCATCGAGTTTGACGATGAAAATGACATGAACGTTGGGAGCGGGGCAGCTGCCGCTGGTAAGGTTCGATTTCCAGTCCCGATCTGAACTAGCCCACCACACAAAACCAAGAGGGCGTGTTATGCCAATCGACATTATTTGTAAATAAGATCTTTTGCTTGCTTCACTCATGGCAAGTACTCTTTCCTTCCACAGTAAACTGTATTTCCTCTGCCTCTTCACTTTTCCAGGTTGCTTTGAAAAGTGTACTTGGCAGTATACTTTTATTTTACATTTTTCCTCTTTTCACACTTCAAAGGTGTGTTTGAGGATTAAAATGCTAGTTTTAGGTAAGGGTTAGGGTTAGACAGTAACTTGTGATGGTTTAAGTTAAAGAGTTAAGTTAAAGAGAGCCATACAAATGTGCCTGACTGCCCCTTCACCCACATACAGAGCCACATCCTCATACTTGGCACTGCTCTTATAATACACAAACTAAGACTGAAGAGAATCTTCAGTGAAAACCTGTCAACAAGATAAGCAAAGAACAGACGGATGAACAAACTGATATGTTTGATATGTTTGATATGTTTTTGTTTTAAATTCCACGCTGATATATTTTGTTTTGTTTCATGTTCTGTGTAGATACTACATCAGTCGCAGACGCCAGGAACAACCCCAGTATAGGTGAAGGCAGTGTCGGTGGGTTGACAGGCAGCCTGAGTGCAAGCGGCAGCCACATGGACCGTCTGGGGGCCATTAGGGACAACCTGAGTGAGACGGCCTCCACCATGGCCCTGGCTGGAGCCAGCATCACCGGCAGCCTGTCTGGCAGCGCCATGGTCAATTATCTGAACAGGTAAATGTGTGCTGCAATATTTAAATGTGGTTGTGACTTCAGTGTGCTCTCCTGCATTGTCATTGTCTTATTTTCTCTCTCTCTCTGTTGTCAGGCTGGAGGTGCAGGCTGATGTGCAGAAGGAGCGCTGCAGTCTTAGTGGCGAGTCTGGCACAGTGAGCCTGGGAACAGTCAGCGACAATGCTAGCACCAAAGCAATGGCTGGATCCATTCTTAATGCCTACATGCCTCTTGACAGGTGAGCATCATAGGTTTGGATAAGTCGAGAAAGCATGGTCTTCTGTTCATTAGCATGTTTAGTCCAGTTCTTTGTAGCTTCATAGTGTGAAACAGATGCAGCGGATTAGTGAATAATCTGTACCTGTATTATTGTAAACCTGTGCTCACGTCAACTGAACACAAAGTATTATTGTTTATATCATCATGTTTTGAACCTAGCCTAATTTCTAACCTATTGTACTAGTTGGTAAAAAATTAGGCTAGTGCTATTCAAAGATAAAATGGTCATCTAGAGTCTATAGTCACTATATGTTATGAATAACAGCCCTCTGGATGCTTAATTGTGCTGAACACAAACTACATGCAACTCATGTTTCCTGTGTCCTCTCTTCTTCCAGAGATGGGAACAGTATGGAGGTGCAGGTTGACATTGAATCCAAACCTGGCAAACTACGGCATCACAGCGGCAGCAGCAGCATTGATGACGGCAGCCACGTTGGTCGCTGCGGCTGGACCTGTCCCTCTAATGGCTGCACCTCTGCAGAGGGCAAAGGAACCTCCACTAAGTGGGCCAAAGAGGCCTCCTGCTCCTCCTCCTCCAGCTCGGGGGGCAAGAAGAGCAAAGGCAAGCTGCGGAAGAAAGGGGGAGGAGGCACAAAGATCAATGAGACACGGGAGGACATGGATGCTCAGCTGCTGGAGCAGCGCAGCACCAACTCCTCAGAGTTCGACTCTCCTTCGCTGAGCGGCAGCCTGCCATCAGTGGCCGACTCCCACTCCAGCCACTTCTCTGAGTTCAGCTGCTCCGACCTGGAGAGCATGAAGACCTCGTGTAGCCACGGCTCCAGCGGTGGCGACTACCACACGCGCTTTGCCACAGTCAGCCCCCTGCCTGAAGTGGAGAACGACCGCCTGGAGACCTGCCCCACTTCTTCATCCTCCTCCCAGGGACAGAGTGCTGTGGCCACCCCCAACTCCCCCACCTCCACCACGTCCTCCCTGGGTCACGGCACAGAGCTCCCCCCTCTCTGCTTCATAGCAGAGGAGAATGTCAACCTGGTGTGCCCCACTGAGCCGGACTCTCACAGCAACACCGGAGAGATGTTGAAGGAAACCAACAACAACAACACCCAGCATCATCAACCACAACAGCCAGCCCAGACGCAGCATCAGCCCAAGAACTCCTGTATACAGACTGATATTTAAAATCTCAATACCATAAGTGCTGCACACACATTGTTTCAACATCCTTTTCCTCCACTAACATAACAATCCTAGCTTAAAGTTTAACCTGCATTTTCTGTTATTCCCTTGTAAAGGGGACATGTTACTTTTGGATTGGACATCCTCTGTTGAAAAGCAGCCACTGAGTGAAGTATTAAGAAAGGCTTCTGCAGTGCAGCCGCGTGAGAAATTTTAAGGTTATGAATGCTGATGTTTCTCCCTGTGCTGACACATTTTTGTCACTCGCTGGCCACCTGTAACAGAAGGCAACCCACTGACTCGGGTGTGTCAGATTTATCTGTGTAGACTAAAGTAAAACCACTGTGCCAGTTTTGCTAGTATTTGATTTTAGCCGTACTGTCTGGATGCAACACAATAAGAGAAGTTAACCAAGCAGGGACAAGGCAATACAACTTATTTTTATTTTCCCCAACACGTATTAGTTAACAGAGGGAACCTGAGAGTTCTCATCTGTATTTATTATTAGACTGGTTGTTTTTTGTCATGGATCTGTGTTTGAAATTAAATTGTAGAAGACCAAGGCCTGGGCTCAATGTCCTGAATCATTTTAGCTCTAAAGCTGACTTAAAAACAACTGAGATTGTTTTTAAATGGATGCACACACAGCTATTGTCCCATTGTGGGCGATGGTGCTTTATGGTTTTTTTAGCAGCTCGCTAAGAAACGATTTGAGACCTGTAGCCTAATTCAGTGCATGTTCTAGCACTAAGGTGACTCAGGAAGCCTGGGCCTCATCTTGCTCTGTGGAAAGTTTGTAATGATATATGTTGAGGGTGTGGGTGGGGGCTATTTCTTGATTTGACAAAAGGTCTCTGGAAGGCCGTAGATGTTGAGATAATGCTTAAAGTCATTATAATAACATTAACCAATGGGTTGGTCAATTCTGTGAAATTGTACAAAGAAACTTTTTGTCCTGTTGAAAGGTGATTTATTCAGGCTGATGGTTTCGCCTCACTGAGTAAGAGAGAGCTTTGATATCTTTCTTTGTTAACTCATGGTGCCTTCAAGAAGCTGTTTGTGTTCCGTTTATCTCCACCGTGTCTTCGTAGATTCCAACCAACAACCACAACAACTCATTGCAGAATGTCTGACTGTGTAGGAGGGATGCTCCTATGATAGATCTGGTAAATGAAGACTTTTCAATTGCCTACCAAAGACAGCACTCAGGCTCTTGTTAAATCTTAAACCTTTGACTTGTCAGCTGTAGATGCAGTATTGTGCATCCTTTTGAAACCACAGGGATGAATGATATGATCCGAAATTATACAGACACACAGACTGCTGTTTTTGTACATGCTTCACAAATGCTACGCAAATAACCAGGGCTGTACAACGGCCCGAGGCACCTGCACTGTTACCTGTATTTCCTATGACATTGATGTTTTGCAATGCACAAAGGTTAATGGGGATGCAGAGGTTGGTTAATGGTTACCTTCCTTATTGATTTGTCCTGTGAGTTCCTGTTTGTGTTGCCAATCGGTGCTGCTGAGCAGACTTGAAGTTAAGTTCTTCTTTATTTCAGAGTGTTTGCTTAAGCCTGTGTTTACCGCTCCGTGGTCTGCTTTACTGGGGGCCACCGAGTCAGCTCAGGTGAACCTCAACCATTGAATGGTATCCTGACCCAGGTCTGTTACAGAATGAACTCTTTGGTTCGGTGGATTCGGCTTCTGCTGCACTCCTTCCCTGCATTACAGAAAAGCAGTTTTGTTCTTCCCCCTTAGTTCGGTTTCTCATTTTTCACCCAAATTCCAGTTTCTCAATCCTAAGTTGAACACTAGTGCCAGATATAATTTGTAATTTGTGCAGAATTGCATAAGGTATTTGTATATTTGTTTGGTAATTTGCTTTACTATATGCGTGTAAATGCATATCAAAAAAATAAAAACAACTATATATGAAATGTTTACGGTTTCCCAGTTTTTAAGTTAATAAAAGTACTGTAAATACACAAAATGGACCTATTATGATCATTTAAAACTTCATATTTTTACTGTTAGACTCTGCTAAGAGAGGTTTTGCATTATTCACTGTTCAAAATAAATAAATGAATAAATGGCCTGTATTTGTATAGCGCTTTACTAGTCCCTAAGGACCCCAAAGCGCTTTACACAACCATTCATCCACCCATTCACACACTGGTAATGGCAAGCTACATTGTAGCCACAGCCACCCAATAATCCTTAGCTGTTATATTGGGCCTTGCTATGGCAAACAGCATTATTACAACGTATGTAAGACACAAAAACATCATGTCACTCCATCTTTAGTGTCTCTTCTGACACTTTCCGTTACTTGTTATGAGCTAAAGAAGGAAAAAAACCATGTTTCCCAGTTTATTGAATAGCCCTCTGTGAATAGAATATACAATTTTTACAAATCTACTGACACAATGTTAAAAGCCACTGTTAAGAGAAGCTGTGGAAAATGCAGAATTATTCCCTCCTTCCCCCAAATTTACATCCTTATGCTAAATTTTACATTCATGTAGATTTAATGAAACATGAGAAAACAAAAAGTTTGGATTCAGGCAGTCTTTAGATTCACAATACAGAAAGATTGATATTTATTACTTATAACATGGACAGAAACTTTAAATAGCAAATAAATTACACATTTAAAACAGTTCTGAGTTTGGAGCCAAGTGAATATATGTGTGTGATAAATCCAAGTCATTAAAGAAATTTATTAAAGCTACAGAATGATATAAATAGACTTTTTCTTTACGAGTACCGATATGCTCACCACACTAAGTCGACCCCTAGACTGAAATCCAAGGCACACATCTTATAAAGATGCTGCTTCTCTCCAGTGTGCTGGTATCTGCTGTGAAGCTGATGGTGCAGGTAAACAGGCTCAACGGCACAATGTCATTTCACATGGTGAAGACAGAGACTCGCCTTTATGAATGGAATCAATACAGGAACACAGAGCTACAAATTTGCATAGATGACTTAAAGGAGAGCAAGAAATTTTTTTTCTTACAACATTGTAAGTTCTGTTGCACTCACATGAACAGCAGTGAGACATGCAGGTCTCTTTCACCCATTAAGATAACACCATACATGTGGTCATATTAAAATAGTTACTTAAGATGCAGCAAAGATGCACTTTTAAACTTGGAAGGAAATTAGCTTTTTGTTTGTTTATATTTAACATGCACTGAATAGCTTTTGGTATGTGACAGCTGGTCTTTTATAAAATGATTTCAGAAAGCGACTGGGCTCAAAGAGCAGATCAGCTCGATGAAGCCTGTCCTAAGCAAAAGCTACTGCCTGGAGTGAGGAAACACCTGCCTGCTGTGTTACACAACAGCACATTGGACCTCGTTTATTAATACACTACGGTGAAAGGTCCACTGAGTCCCACTGTTGTACAATGCAAATGGTGCATGGTGTGTACAAAAGTAAAACTGCATAGCAAAATGTTCTGGAGAGAAAAATAGATTTTTTTTTTTATATCGTCACAGACATTACAGACCAGTAGAGTGAATCAGCTCGGTTCCATTGTATTGCTCATTCTGCAGCTTCCTGCCTTTGTGTACTCAGTTCTTGTGCAGTGTTTTGCATAGATCCAAGAGCAGTGGTGGAGCAGCTCATGCAGAGAGGGGAGGGTCAGATATATTTGTTGGCCAGGTTCTGAACATCGTTCTTAGTGAACTGTGTGCTCTGCACGGCTGAGAGATCCTCAAACAGCTGAGTCATGTGGTGACGCTCTTCCTTCTCCAGCAGCATTAGTACAACCTGCAAACAGTGCGTCAGCGTTTATCACCACACAGACCGCTTGATTGCAAAATCTTACCAACAAACTTTAGCTTTTCAGACCATATTTGCATGCTAATCTTACCGAGAACCTGTCAGCAGTGTGCAGATGGTTGAGGTGTTGGTAGACCAGATAAGGGTCTTTCTCCAGTAGGTGTGAGTGCAGGGCCTGCATGATGAAGCTGATGGTGTGTCCATCAAGCTGGGTGCTCAGGAACTGGGGAAGCATCTCTGGGGCCGTGGAGGCCAGTAGTTCCGCGCAGGCCACTGTGTTTCCAGAGCTACGAGCCGCGTTCAGGGATTGGCCGAATTCATAGGCGCTGGCCGGCTGGAGGTTGATGCTGATGTCTTCTCCTTTGCAGCTGTTTTTGGAGTTAGGGACAGCGGTCACATTCTCGTCATCCTCAACCTGAGGAGGGAGACGGACATGGGTGAAACATTTAAACAGGAAAGACAAAAATGGAAAGCCGGTCTCTGTCAGTGAGTCACAATCTGGGAAATCTGCACCACCTATTGCCTTAATTAGGAATAATTTGTCTGGGATGCAGTGATTGGATCTATAAGCTTCCATCTTTACCTACTGGTGTGCTGAACCTGAAGAAAAGGAAAACAAGAGTTTCATAACAATCTGCAGCCTTTTAAACTTGGAGCACAGCCACTTTTCACTCTGGTGTTCCCCTGAAACTGAGACTGAGTTTTGAGACCCAGATAAGCAGCATAAGATGCATGGATACAATTTTACACTTTAGCTTTCTCCGTGTTCTCTTTTGTCTTTTAACAATAAACTGAAAATGGTACATCTAGCCCCACTCAAGCTTTAATTTGGTGTTTTTATTCTTCATTAGATCATTAATAGTAAATGAGGATGGAGCACAAAGACGAACGGTGCACAACAGCTGGGAGCGCTGCACTTTATGATCTGTGCTAGGCTAGAATAAAACCAGAGCTGATCAGATTTCACACGGTATCCCAGCAGGTGTCAGGAGTAATCAGCTAAAAACACACAACTATTTAAAGGACACTTGTTGACCATAAGTCATGATTCTTCAGTCCCCATCATTATAATGCCTCTTCTTCCTAACCACACGTGTAGACTCTCTAAAGTCAAAAGTGGATATGTCTGTTGGATGCAATTAGGGGAAAATATTTATTTTCAATGAAAGTGAATAAACTGTACTCACCTCTGTGATGGGGACTGTCTTCCTGGGTTTGTTTGGTGAAGTGCTGGCCAGACTCTGTCTGAGCAGCTTGGTGACCTCCTCCAGCTCCTTCTCAGCCTCCTGCACGTTGGGATCTTGCTGCAGCACTTCCTGCAGGTCCGAGCTGCAAGCCAGGTAGTCCTGATGGAGGGAGACACCGAAAAAATACAAAGAGAGCTTTATGTATGAAATATGTGAAAGGGATATTTTACTCCTTAGCCACCCAATAAAAAGAAATCACTCCCTTATGGCATTAGCCATTAAAGTCCAGCTCTATTCACCTTGAGACCTTTATTAGCCATGGCTCGTCTGTAGAAGGCCTTCTTATTGGTTGGCTCCAGTTTCAGTGCTGCATCACAGTCCTGCTTGGCCTCAGCGAACCTCTCCAGCTTCAAGTAGCACAGAGCTCTATAAACACACACACGTCAATTGTGATTTTTATTTTTGTCACTGGCACCTAATCACATTTGACACGTGACTCAGAAGTATCATGAATTTGTGACTCACTGCGAATCAGGTTTTATAATAACAGCTGAAGTCATGCCATCAGCATTAACAGAACAGAACATTTTCCTATGATGATGAGATTTACGATTTACACCTCAGAGATGTGCTTCTGGAGCCCCTTTTCTAAATGAATCTTCATGTTTTTAATTTTTTCAAATGGCTCTCAGCAGCTGTGCACCAATGGCGTATGGATGTTTGCTCTGGTGTGGCTGTACATACAATCTGTTCTCACAGCAGGGCTCCACATGCACATGCAAACACCAACACACAATAGGAAAACATTCACGTCATCAGTTTCTTCTGTGACCTGATCAACACCATCTATGTACTATTGTGTTGTGCACCAATTTACCACCAATACACACTAATTTGGCAGCAGTGACAGGTGGCACGACTGGATAGGATTAAAAACAGAGCTGAAAGCACGGCTGACAAATGACAGCTGGGCGTCGTTAATCGGCCTTTTTTAAATTCAGTTGAACAAATTTTGTGGATTTTCAGGCTGTTTTCCCACATCAAGGTGAACCAGTGGCAGAAGATGTGATGAACAGAGGGGAAACGAGACCGCAGGAACATGTCTGTTCATATTAAGGTGAGAATTAAATGACTAACCTGTTGGTGTAGATAGTGCATTCCTCTGGCTTTAGCTTAAGGCATTCTGTGTACTTTCCCAGAGCATCCTGGTATTGGCTCTTCTTCACAAAATCGTTCCCTTCTTGTTTCAAAGCTGAAAAACGGACTTCGGCTTTCCTCTCTAGAAAACAAAACAAAGTGGTGATTGCTAAACATCGCTTACTCACACAGACACGAGGTCCATTCTCCTCCATTTTGACTTCATATATCCACACTGACACTTGCAATACATTTTAACTGACCTCGCTTTTATAAGCCTGTGCTACACAGCTGGAGGGTTTAAGCACTTGAAATTAATGCTGTGCTAGCTGGACATGAGCCACGAGAGTTAAGTCAGCAATCAGTCCCGGTGTGGACCGAGGGCTAATCAATCTGCTGCAGAGTGTCTGCAGAGCGTCTTCAGGGAGGTAAAATTATGCCAGCAGTGCTATTCTTTCATTAGAGTCTAAAAATAGCATAGGTAGAAAAGCCCTGGGAGCAGAGAAACTGCATGGTCAGAGGTGACACGTCCACTTATATAAAAAAATAGGCCTTTCAAATTTTCCTCCAGTCACAACAGGAAGACTTTTGTTCCTCCATCGCTGTATCAAGCAGAAGAATGGTTCAAAAACCGAACAAAGGTAGCTATAATGTCAGAAGAAAGAGCTGCTCGAGAAAATGTTTGTTAATGCTGGATGTAGTCAACATTAGATTTTATTCAGTCATCATAACCGCTGTATGTATAAATGTCCCAGCTACTCTCCTCATTGTCCCAGCTCAGCGATCAACACTTCTGACCCTGACTAACTCTGTGTTTCTGGGGACAAACATTAATTAAGCATCATGACTCTTAAAAACAACAGACCTGCATCCCTAGCAGCCTTCTCTGCTCGAGCTTGGAGGACCTCAGCGCTGGGTGGCTCCTCTCTGCGGTGCTGCTGAGCCGACAGAGGCACCAGAGGGATCTCGGGAAGTTTCTCTCTCCACTCTGGCCCGTCTTGCTCGATGAGCAGCCGGGTGATCCTAGAGGAGGACGTGATTCAGTCATTGTTACAGCACACAGATGAGAGACATTGATAAGGCTTACATAGCGTGTTAAAGATGCATCTAATCCACCCTGTTCCACAGTTTAGGGAGTTTATGTCTTATTGTGTAACTTTGTAGATAAATGTGGGGATGAATGATATCTTTGACCCTCTGGTACTCCTGAACACAAACCAGCCAGGTGAGTATTGCGTAACAGAGAAGGGACACACAGTCTGAGAGACATGATTAGCCTCTAGCCGGAGCTACTTTTGACCAGCTAAATCTGTTAGTCTCTAATAAGCCTGTGTGTAATGGTTACCATGATTTGTTCTGATTTAGTCTTCTAAATATGCTATAATTCCATTTCTGGATTTCAATTATAGAACATTTTCAAATTTGGAAAATACAGCAGGTAGATAGAGTAAGAAAATCTCCATGTCTCATCTGTCTTTTTATTTCCTTTGCTGTAACAGCTAAAGATAGTCTGCGTCCACCTTGTTTAAAATAGATGAGAAATGCACTGCCATAGACATGGGTGCTGTAAAATTCAATACTTGCTTTTGAGATGCCAAATGTTAATGAGTCTGTTAGCTGAGGTGAGAGGTGGACATTATACCTGTTGACACTGTCGTGAGCTGCCTGCACGCTCACGTCTATCTGCAGCACAGTTTTGTAATCCACGTAGGCCTTTCGGTAACGCTCCAGGGACTCATAAGCCATGGCACGGCGGAGGAGGGGCTTGAGGGAGAATGGCTGCAGCTCCAGGGCTCTGATTGGAATAAATAGATGCAATGAGACAAGAGCAAAGGATCGAGTCTGGTGCCCCTGCTGTCGATGCTAGGGCAAAGGATGTGTCTGTACATGTTGTTTCTGAGGTAGTGAACAAGTCTAAAGGTGTGATTCAAGTTTTCTATAACCCCATCTTTCTGCAAACACATCAAGTATATTTAAAGGCTTTCATATGGGAGGCTCCCTTAAGTTAACCCAGTCTGCTGCTTATAAACCACTTCTAAAGAGATTAATTACAATCCCTTACGACACACCCAAGTGCAAATCCCCTCCCACTCATAAATGATCTGAGATCCTCTGCTGAGACTGGTATATGATGACGCTGTCTGCAGAAATTTGTAGCAGTTTGATCTTTAAGATGAAGCACAGGGACAAGCGTGCATTTGCCTTCCACAACTTTTCACATTTCTTGCTGAACACTGGTAGAGTTTTATCAGTTCTCTCACCTTGTGCAATCTTGTATGCAGTCTTGACTGTTGCCATCTTTCAGGTAGCAAGCTGCTCTGTTGGAATATAGAATACAGAGATCTTCTGGACTATCAATCCCTGCATAGAAAATAGAGACCAATATCAGAAATGTAATACACAGCTTGGAAACAGCACGCATAGTTCTGCAGTTATCTTGGGGGTGGAATACAGAATATCTGCAAAGACATCATGAACTCAAAGTTTGAATCGTGTACTTATTGTCTAAATCAGACTGTTTAATGTGCTCTCTGAGCAGCTATAGAAGCGCTGTAGATATATATATATATATATATATATAGACATTTCCCTTTGAGATTGTGACAACTGACTCGTGCAAAGTCCGCACGCTGTTTCTCTCCACCTGCCTTAACTTAACAGTGTTTTCTTCACTATCACAGAGTTAAGCAAATCACACAGGTCTATGGTGCATGTTTTAAACACAGCAACATTATCCAGCTACACTAAACAAATTCATGTCAGTGTGCTGCCTCATCAGATGAAAACAGATTATGGATGATGACACAGCGTGGCAGTGATGATGATGTCTTAGCAACTGAGAGCACTTAGCGAGGTTATTGTGACAGTAGATCATATAAACTACAGCAACTGTGTGCATACCACAACTACGAGACCTGTCAAAGTTTCTTGAATGTCTCGTTCAGTTTCATTTCTACTGAAAAGAGCCTTTTTCACAGATCGGAAAAAATTAGATTAGGTCACATCTGTTGTGCTTCCCACAGTAATCCAGATAGATGATGCCCAGCGACTTTCACAGTCTTAACTGAGTATATTATGGCTGTCCACAGAAAGAGACACAAGGCCATATGTTTAACGGAGAGTGAGCAGAGGTTTCTCTTCCTCCATCAACTGCTTGTCGTCTCACTCTCTGTGAGAATTATTGCTGCAGTCCTACAAATTCAATTTCACAGTGAGTGGTTAGAGGTCATGTGACTTGGACAGACCTGAGCTGAGAGGCTTAGCACCAGACTAAAACAGCAACACTGTCTGCGTACAGCCACAGTCCATCACCCCAGGGATAAGTCACTAAATATTAACATCGTAATGGATCTTACTAAAATTTTGAATACTGCAAATAAACTGTTCACACAAAAATGTGAAGTCTGAGACTGAGAATTTGAAATTGTTTATGAGGAATTATTTCAATAGGGAAAATGATTTGTATTGCTATCCTGTTTTCATGTGTAAGTCTCTGCAGTGTGTTAAAGTGACAAAAATAAAGACAAGCACTGACATTATAGCTACGACCCTATGACCTTTGATTTAAAGTTAAATTAAAGTATGACACCATAGAAAGCTGTTATTAAAATATGATGATGAATAAACAGCTGAGAAAACAGTCGATCAGTTCTGATTCATTTGTCAGCTCATAACACACTGATATGAGTAAAAATGTTATGATTACTGACACGGTGGCACACAGGTAACTTCTAACCAGCAACCTCACTGTATAAAACTAATTAAATAGTTTTTTCTTAATATTCTAAAATATTACAAACACGATCAACAGTGAGTGCCCCTGAGGCTTACCTGAATCTGTATAGCCCTGAATGGCTTGTGAGTATTTCTCCAGTGCATCGGCAAACTGTCCATTTTTAAACAGCAGGTTTCCTTCGTTCTTTAGCCGGGCCAGGGGTGGGGGCAGGGCCCCACATGGGGCATCAAGGTTGACAGTTTCTCCAGCATTTCCTCCAACTGGAGTTGCCTTACCGCTGCCGCTTTGATCACCCTGAACCGAAGCTGTCGAGCCTCTCTTGCTTGATCCATTGGCTATCTTTTCCTGCGGGACTTTGTACTTGTCTGAGCTGCCTCTGTTCTTCCTGTGTTCATGGTGGGAGCTGTTGGACTCGGCGTGTGGACCCCCGTCCCCTCTGCCGTGGGGCTTTTTATGAGCGTTTCCCATGTCTCCCCTTTCGACAGGAGTAGCTGATCTCTCCTCCCCTCCCACGGGCTGGCTAGGTTGAACCAGACAAGCTGGAAGGGAGAGGGAGGGAGGGGAGAAGCAGAGGGAGAGAGACAGAGAAGGGGAAGTCACACCCACAGGAAAGAGTCAGCAGTTACATCATAGTGTGGGAGGAGAGGAGCACATGACACGGAGCCACTTCAAACAGGGAGTTCCAGGAAGTAGAGATACCAAACAGTGACTTATGAAAGGGCTGTGTGGGGGTAGGGCAGAAAACATGCATGCACTGTTCCTTCACCCAGAGAGACAAGAGGGGAATTTCCTCTATCTATAGGACAGCAGACAGAAGGGGATGTGACTAAAGCACTACTATTACCGGCAATGTTGGAGCTTCCTAACATGCTCTGTATAAATCGTGACTGTATTAGAGGGCAAATCCTTCAACTTCTAAATCCAGCACAGCTATAAAGACACAAAAAACTTTCTGCTATAAAGTTAAAATTTAACACCTCATTCAAGTTACATAAATTAGAGTAGCAATAGATTTGAGTCCAGTTAAGTCAGTGGAATGACTTAACTTGTTACTTTTCACTAAATGAGAATATAGATAAAAAATATATCTCCAGTAAGGGAAAAATCTGATCTGGGAAATCTGTACCACAGTCTACTGGTTTACCTCATTCACTTCCTGCTAGTCTTGCTAGTTTTTAATATGAAATCAACAGTGAAAAAAAAAACATGTCAAATAAAGGATCAGTGCACACTTTTGACAAAAATCTAAGTTTCCTCTGAACTCATAACTTACCTAAGCTTGACTATAACTGAAAAACAATTTAACTGCATGTTAAATAGAGAGTAAGCAACATTTAAATCAGTTGATTGATTTTTGGATGCAAATGGGTTATCATAAATGGCCATTAGCGCCGTTATAGTCTCTATGTCTGTGTTTAAGGATATTGATTGTTTTTAGTAGTTCAAACAATCACCAGTTTTATGAGCTTTGTTGTCACTGTCAGTCTGGTTATCCGCCTCTTCTATCTCTTGGATGAGGATTTTTTTGCCCTTGCGTTGCTTCTCTTGTTGGCATTCCTCCATCTTCTTCTCCATTTGAGACATAAGTTGCTAAAACACAAACAATTCATCCATTAGAACATCTCATGTTTTGTTTGTCACAACTATTCATATCACAATCTATGCTAGATTACTTAGTTGTAGTGACTGGTGTATGTATAACTACAAAAAGGAACATTTTCTTCCCATTTACACCTAAATTATACTCAAATAAATAGAAACAGAAGTTAAACAATGCAATTAAAGGGGACGGTTAAACACAGCACATCCTGGGCTGTTCCACTGATACAGATCTGTTAAAAAAGCCACATCATCCTCTATTTATGGTAATGACATAAATACATGAAAGACTTCCAGTGATAGACTCACTAAATCACTCAACTTTCACAAATACAGTGACACCTAGTGGATGAAAGGTAGACTGGCGCATGATGAACATGCCTCAGTACTATCACCTACAGTTGCAGTGGTGTTCTGTGGCTCTTCCCTGAGCACCGTCCTCAGGTCTTCAGTGGCCATGTGGAAGTTGCCCATATGATTATAAACAACAGCACGGCGAAGCAGGGCTAACGGAAAGAAGTGCATTACAATATGTAGCACATACACTAATGCTGCTGTAGCTAAAGTATACCACATCATATAAATACATCTAAAAGTGCAGGTGTATTTATTCTGGAAGCATTATTGTGTTAGAAATTATAGAAATAACATTAACACACCTTTCAGATTGCCTGGTTCTAGCTCGAGCACACTCAGGCAGTCTTTCAGGGCATTGTGCCAGTGCTCGAGCTTGATCTCTGCCTGGGCTCTGTTGTTGTATGCAGCCACAGTTGTTATAATGGAAAGGCTCCTGTAATGGAATAAACAATAAAGCAAACCTCTATTTACAGTGAGATTATTGCACAAACACTTACTACTACAGCTACAATGAAAGATGACAGTCTACTACTTACAATATATACCAAGCAAAACGATAAAAGCCCTTTAAGAGGTGCTAAGTGCTTTCTGCAATGAAGGAGTTGTTTAAAGAACCTGACCTGGAATAGTATGTGACCGCCTCCTCATAATCCTTTGCTCTAAAAGCTTCATTGCCTTTGTCCTTTTCACGATTTGCCAGGAAGAGCTTCTCCTGTTGTGACAGCACTGGATGGATCACAGGGGAAACCTTACATGTTACACAAAAATGCCAACACACCTGATGTACGTTGTATGCTTAATAATTACTGCAAAAGAACACTTTCTATCCACAATAAATTACATGAAGTGTCCACTTGAGTCTTGATTTTAGGATGTCCTGAGTTTATAATTGCAGGTGGATCAGTTTTGTCCACATCCTCCTCTATTTTCTCACATTCTTTTTCCACATCGAACCTGGAAAGAAGGTGTAAAATATATACTTAAAGGTCAAATTTTTAAACTGTGGATCACTGTAATGGAAGCAGTTTAACTTTAAAGCCCTTTTACAAAGTAAAAAGACTTGGGAAGCTTTTATGCATAGAGAATTCAGCTGCTGCAACAGTGGGGTCTTTCTTCTGAATATAATAGACAAATGTGGAGACAGCATGACTCACTTGTCCCATTCTCGGTAATCACGTGGTAGGGCGCATTTAGAGGGTTTCTTTCTTTCTTGTGGAACTGTTTTCTATCATGAGAAAAGACTCTGTTTGAATATTTGTCTTCTATACATATATGTAACTGGTTATGTACTGTATATGCCTTGATTTTTTTACCTGGCTCAGAGGAACAAAGCAACTGGAACCTCTTACAGGTGGCATATTTTCTTTCACTAGATCATCAAATACTGACTGGTGTTTCAGGGTTGTTTCAGTCTTTTTGGTTTCTTCTTGCCATCTCTGAGCAAAGTATTTAGAGAAACAGCCATGTGAGAACAAAGTAAACAGGATTTATTTATTTTTTTAAAAGAAAGAAAAAAATGTGTACCATACTTTCAATTCATCCTCAATTTGGCTCCACTCATCTTTAGAGAGGCTGGCTGCTGTGGCTACAGGCATTTCCTTCCTAAGAGCTCGGCTCTTAGGGTCCAGTTTCTCCAGGTGACTCTCACAGAACTTGATCAGGTGAGGATAAATGCCCTCTTCGCCGGACCTTTAACCAAACAAAAAAGAAAAATAAAGAATAGCTTTTTTTGCAATATTTTTCATTCACATTTGCCAGCCTGTATTTTGTTATGACATGCACTATTATTCCTCTGCAACTGATGACAAGTGTTACATAATCTATTTGCAATATAGCACATACATCTTACCATCTCAGTGGAGAATGAGTGAAACTTGACATGATGATGAGTTTATAACCTTCATAAAGAAAAACCTCACCAACACTATAAAGGGACTGGACTGACTGATTGCTTTATTTTGAGCATGTAAATATAGATACGATTAAAAAAAGCAGCAAAAGTCCATTGAACACAGGTAAAGGAAGAAAAGGGACAGTGAGTTTCCTCCAACAACACTATATTGCTCAACAGACAGTTACCTCAGTGTTCTCAGGATCTTCTCGAGGTATCTCACATCTTTACATTTTTCAATGTAATCGTAGTCCAGGTGCTCCACAGGAACCTTGCCCCTGTAGTCCACAGTGGTGGAGTGACTCTGAAGGGATAAAACTGCGTCTTCACTCATTTCTGGAAAGAATTTACACAGTCAACGTGTCAAAAAGTGTTCCATAAAAGGGAGACATGGCAGTTCTGCATTATATTTGTATAACTTACCAGCATTTTAGCTAGCTACCTTAACTTTACTGGTAATTTTAATAGTTCGTCAGAAACAGCTAGGTTCTATATTTAGGGATGTAACATTCGGGAAAGGCAGACTTATCTCTTAAGTGTCTCTTGAGTAATTAATGCAAGATCACATTAATGTTAGTAATGTTAAGCAAAACTAGTTTACCTGCTCCCGTTTGGCTGAACGCTCATCGACAATGTGGTGTGTATTGCTATGGTAACCACACACGGACGGAAGGCCGGTAGCGCCGAGAGGAAGCACGTGACACAGCCAACAGAGGGCTCCAAATTTGAAAACGTGGCTGGTGAACATGAGAAAACAAGAACAACAGCGGGGGGACAGCTGAGGCCTGGAACAAAGCCTGAGGAAACAATATCGCCTACGGAGGCCACGGTTTTTGGAATAGCCCCGTTTTAACTTCAGGTAGGTATTTGTTAAATATTAAGCGCGTTTATTCCCGAAGAAGATTATTTTGTCGAGCTTAAGGTACAGGTGCGTGGAATTCACCGACATTACCTCGTACTGGTTCTAGTTTCAGGAGGCTAACAACGTTATGTTAGTAAACGTGGATGGCATACAGAAATGTCAGCCACATTTTTTTCTTTAATTATAACTCGGTGTTTTACGAGGCCCACAGTTTTTGTTTTGTTTGTTTTTTAATGGCAATCATTTTTGCATGACATTTCAGGGTTAACACAGGTGTAACTGATTAGTCATTCACTGTGCCATTCCGGGTCCCCTTCAGTCACATTAACAGGAGGCTATTTCAGCTTTGACGGAGCATCACTGCTTTTAATTCTGGAACCGGTTTTTATCCTGTCCTGTCTTGTTAAAATGGCTGCTCTGACCCTCTGACCTAGCATAGAGGGTGAAATTACACTGTAAAATGCGCACGCACGAAACGTCGTCGGGTTTTTGTTTTGTTTTGCTTTTGGATGAATTTTACTAATATCAGTTTTGCGTGTGTTTACCAAATAATTTTGCCTTGTCATATTTCTTCAGACGGAATTAAGTGTGAAAATAACGAGGAGTAAAATGATGTTAAAGGTGGTGTATACTGTCAGTCGGGCTCTGTCGGTGTCTTTTGGCGGTTATGGAGCTCTTTAAAGCGGCATCAGAGAGGGCACGAGATGGGGGGATTTAAATCGGCAGCAGCACGCGCTCTCATAGCAACGCGGATGAAACAGCTGAGAAGGATCAGAGATAAATCAGCTGTCTGTTGCTTTCTGATATACAAACTGCTACTTTTATACACTGAAAACCACCGTAAGATTCGGGAGATAACTTTTATTTTACTATAAGTGAGTCCAGCATGAGACTCCTTTTAAAAATATCTTTTTTAAAAGTATTTAAGCTAGCATTGTATGTGTTTACGGTCTCTTTAAGTTCATATTTGCTGTGCTGAAGTAGTTCTGTTTATTATATTCTGTTTCACTCCAGGTGACTTGTAATCCCCTGGAGGCCAGGCTAAGGTTTGTTCGCGCACTTCCAGTGATCAACAGGAAGATGCAGTGCACTCCTGAATCTAGTCTTTATCTTGATGGCTATAAAGGGCAGCACTGCTACGATGACTGCTCTGACAGTGGATACTCAGGTTTTTTCCAGAGCCCACACAGCACCAGTGGAGCTGATTCATGTAGATCTTTGTCTCCGGTGGAACTGGATGAAACGCCCAAAGAGAACCTCCGGGTTTCTGTCACGCCAAAGAAGATCCGAGAACAAGTCAGATTTTTGGGCAGAGACTCCAGGAAGGTTTCAGCTGTAAGCTGGTGTGAAACTCCTAAAATGTGCAAAAGGGATACCTCGCTGCGACAGAGACTTCTACTGTGTAAACCCACTGTAGATGTCAAAAATGACAACACAAGATCACCGTGCACCAGAAGGATTGAATCCCCTGTCAGTGGGTCTGAACCCTATTTGAATACATCATTTGACTCTGTAGACACTGAGATGGGGGCATCAAGCACTTTAAAAGTGGACCAGGACCTGCCACTATCAGGCAGGAAGCGCCGTGTTCTGTTCACACAGGTGAGGACCTCAACTCTTGAAGACGGCAAGCACAACTGTTGTCACCTTCCCAGTTTTGAGAAAGAAGCCTCACTCACAGATCTAGACATGAGTGAACACATTTTTGCATCTGGTCAATGTAATGTCAAGACTCCAGGCTTCAACGAATTCCTGCCCATCTCTAAAGAAAACTCTCAGTCACCACTGGGCAGCATGACGGATAATCTATATAATGGCTCAAGTGTCTTGTGCACACCATCATCTGCACATACACCCAACTATATCAGGTATGTGTTTTATTGACGAAGAAAATAAAACTTTAAAATATTTAAACACAGATTAACTCCTTTCTGACTTTTAAACAGGTCGTTGAGTGAGGACAGCGGTTTCAGCTCAGTGACTCTTGATAAATCGCAAGACTCCACAGTGGACCATGATGGCTCGTTCCAGGAGCTGCTGCCGTCTGCCTCCAAAGGAAACTCTGAAACTCCAAATCCAACAGAGGGAAGGCGCCGCTCCCGTTTGCAGCGTCAGCACAGGCTCTCTACGCTTAAAGAAGGTGGCTCTCAGTCTGAGGAAGACCCAACGGACAGAAAGCATCAACATCCTTATCAATGTTACAGCCATTCTAAAGAGGATGAGGTTTTTGCTGGGGATATCACCCCTCGCAGTGTCCTCTCTGTTAAATGTGGTAATGCCGTGAGCTCTGATCACTTGGGCTCAGCAAAAAAAGATTATACCACCCCACAAAGAGTGACTAAAACCAAGGCACAAGACATGACCCCTTGTTCTACAGATATCACACCACTCAGAATGACTCCAGTTAACCTCTCTCTGACTCCAGCGCTGCAGCTGGTTCAAGCTATGTGTCAGCACCATGCCCAGATGTTGGCTGGTCAAAGTCCAAGCCTGAAAGAGCAGCTGAAGTTTGCAGCAGCACTGACCAAGACCCCAAGCACTCTTCGGACCACTATGCCATTGGCAGGGCTGATTGGCAGGAAGATGGGCCTGGAGAAGGTGGACATACTCACAGAGCTGATGAAGAGGAACCTCAGGCACATCCTGGCTGTTATACTTTGCCAGATGGACTCTGAGAGTGTCTATAGGTGATGTTTCCAAATATACATTTTTATTCACACAATGTTTTACAGCGCATATCATCCATGCTTACTTGCCACAGGTTGCAGCTCCTTTCCCATTTGGTCACTGATTAATAAAATCATGACTACATTTTTAATGGAGTAAAGAATAATTCAGAGTCCTGTAGAATGATCGCAAGGTGATTGACGCTGAGCTGAAACATACATGTTGTTATAACAGTGTTTGTTGTATAAACAATGCAATTATTAGTAAAATCAGTGGAGTTTAGCTTGCATTACAAACTTGTGTTGTCTAAAAAGTTTAGTGAGCTGAAAATATTTCTCTCATACTTTGTTGTTTTTCACAGGTGCAGCTGTGTTTGCAAAAGCTGGAATCAAATTCTCCAGCAAGACAAGCTAGCTAGCACAATGAGAAGAAGCCACCTGAGTCAAGTGGAGGCTGCTCTTGAGGTAAGAGCCAGGCTATGGCTAAAGGTCTTATAAGCAGGGGTGCACATAAGTGGTCCGCAGGTGCGCATTTGCTGTCAAAATAAAAGACGTGCACCAGATAAGAAGTTGCAACGCGCGTTTGCGTACATAAGATTTTCTGGAGGAGGACAAACATTTGTTTAGAACTCTTAAAAATGTTGAAGCAAACTCCTTTAAGAAATTACTTTGGTGTTCCTCCACCTCCAAAGAAATGTCAGGAGTCCGAACAGCAAAAGAAGCGCATATTCTCGGAAAAGTGGTTGCAGGAGGTGAGCTGGCTTCAAACAAATGATGAACGCACAGATGTGGTGCAGAATATGCTGTGAAAATCCCACTCTAGCGGACAAAAACTGTGCCTTTTTATATGTATGCAAACGCCCATTGCAGCTTCTTATCTTATTCGCTTCCTATTTTGACAGCGAATCCGCACCTGCGGACCACTTATGTGCACCCCTGCTTATAAGAGTGTTTGTTCAGCTCTGTAGCATTTAGCTTTCTGTGTTTTCAGTTAAACACAACATCTCTGTTATCACAGTCTTTGCTCTGTGGTCATCAGTGCATACGTACATCAAAATGAGTCGGTGTTATCACAATCTCCATCACTGTCACTGAAATGACTCTGAACTTATTTGCTGTCGTCTTATAGCTTGGTGCTGCTGTCCATGTCGCTGATGCAGAGACCAGAGCCATGTTGCTTAAGCGATCAGCTCTGAAGACAGTTCAGGCCCAGTCTAGGACCTCCAGCTACTGCACTCCACAGTCAGGAAGCAGGGCTTTAACGCCACTGCAGCTCAGTGCCTTGCATTCAGACAGCAGCAGCAAACGGGATAAATTTCTGGAGGTAAGTTACAAATCCATTAAACTGCATTATGCTTTGAGGCATTTCTCATCAAACATTTATCAAAGTTATTTTAATAACTTCTTTTTCCTCTCAGGTTGCTAAAACCCTCTTCAATGATGAGTGCCTCAAGCCTTGTCCGAGATGTCAGCATCCCGCAAGATGCCATTCAGGCAAAAGAGAGGGAGTGTGCAGCAGAGCTGACTGTGGATTCCAGTTTTGCATGTCATGCTTGTGTACTTCTCACGGCTCTAGAGAGTGCGGTAGTCACTCTGCAGGCCGTCGCAGAAAGGACATACTTCCCGGAAGCGCTCAAAGCAAGCGCAATGTTAAAAGACTATGAACAAATTATTCCTGCTTCATGAAGTCACTTTAATAATATCTATTTTTTGCAAGTTTATAGATGGCAATAAGCAGCGAGGAAACAGATGTGTAGTCCGTGCAGTGTCTGAACTCTTCAATGTTTGTTTGTATTTCTTTACTTATCCCATCCTACCCCTTTCCTTTTTTGATATAGTTCTTACTTGTATATTTTTTTTAAATTATGCACTGAAGGAGGTTTTACCAGCAGATAAAAGGATTTCATTTTACTGTTGTATTTTTCTATGCACTGACTGTACAGCATGTTGGGTTTTTTGTTTTGGAGCTATTGAGATTTTCAGCTTTTACAAACATGTTTTCTAGATCGGTTTTAAAATAAACTTGATATATAGTAAAACCTTTTTTTTTTCTTCCCCTACCCGTGCGCTGCGTCTCATTTGTGAGGATTGTGTATGTCGCTGTAACCTGTACAAATCTCTTTGGTGCCACCTAGTGGTTTGACACTTTCACTGCGAAAGGAGTTTTATTTTAACCCCCCTCCCCTCCCTCAAAAAAAAAAAAAATATATATATATACACACACATATCTTAGAT